GAATGAATGAATGAATGAATGAATGAATGAATGAATGAATGAACGAACAAACAAACCAAGGCTAGCAAAACACAACTGGTGGTTCACACAACACGCAGGCCCGAGAGCGGGCTTCCTGAAATACATTCAGCCACCAATATTTTAGCCTAAACTGGCTTCGTTTGTGAAGTCCACCATTTCATGAAGTTTTTTTGCCACGGCTTGGTTGGAGACTTCATGATACTTAAGAGTAAACCTGCTGGAGTCCATCTTTGTGGGGTGACTAATTTAATTCTTACTGAGTCAACTCTGTACAGGACCAAATCTGAACCCAACATGGTGTTAATTAGTCAGAGGTGGTCCACGGACACCAAAACACCACCTACTCTGGGGACGTCCAGTGATGATCTTTGGCTTCAAAGTGGTGGGCGTGACTGGGAAGTCAAAGCCCCACCCCCTTCCTATGGGTATACGATGCCTGTCATGCATGTTACAAAGGGGTGGGACTTTGTCCATTTGTGCCCACTGCTTTGAAGCTAATGATCATCGCTGGACGTCCCTGCCTTCTCCATTGCTAGATCCAAAGCTTTTCCTGACCTGGACGGCAGAACAATGACCATCATCCTCTGCTATAATGCCATCTGCAGCTGCAACCTGATGAAGGGTTAGCCATGAAATTGGGCCAGGGCAGGACAGGTCATCTGTCCAGCGTGGGATGGTTCTCACCTGCCCACTGTTGACAGCACCATGTTGAGCTGAACAAGTAAAAATGGCCATTGTCAGGAATTTTGTGAGCTCCTCTGTGGTCCCCAGAGATGAGGGAGCCCCCGATGCCTCTCTGCTTTGGAAAGCTTCTGTGAAAATCTCCAAAATCCAGGCCTGGAGCTCGGAGTCACCTTGGACACGGTCATCATTCCGGTAGTAGAATCTGACAAAGCCTGCCACGTAGCTGCAACACAAAAGCTCATGAGCTAGAAGGTCTCCTCCAGCTTCAATCTCTAGGACCTGGTGGTCCCCAGATATGTGTGGCTTCAGCTCCCAGAATCCCCAGCTAACCTAGGCAAAGAGAGATCCAAGTCCAGCAGGTTCCAATAGGTGGGGAAAGAAGGAGGAGACTCTCTGAAGGGAGCCTGAATTGGCTGAAGACCAAAACTGACATGTCAGAATTAGCCAACAGTAGCCTCCCTTCCTTCTTGCCCCTCTTCAGGATTCCTGATTGTGTTGACTGCATCATTTCCCTGCAAAAGCTAAGCCAAGCTTGACTGGCCTTAGAAACTAGGCAGGTTTGAACCTGGTTTGGACTTGGGTCATGAAATCCCCAGGCTAGAGGCTAGACGTGGGAGTCAAAAAATATCCCACAAGGCCAAGGCAAAAAGGCTCATGAGGTCAGCAGGAGTCAGGCTCAACATGAGGGAGATGCTCATTGTGTCCAGCTGTGTGGTACCTCTGTGTTGACCTGGGCTAATGTAAAAGCTAAGCAGGGTTGAAGCAGGTGTTAGATTTTGGATGGGAGACTATCAAGACATTTCCACTTTGTTGCCAAGAAAACCCTGTGGCTGTGTCCATGCAGACATCAGAGAGTGTACAAACCCAAGACCAGGCCTCACCTCTCTATAGCAGCCCAGATTTTTGTTGCATCGTCCCGGTAATAGTAGTTGGCGACAGAGTCAACTCCGCGAGCCTTGATGTCCTCTGGCAAGCAGAGGGAAGCATAGGTCAGCCTCTGAACACCTTTCCTTACCAAGGGACCAATTCCTTCGAATCCTGCTGAGGTGGCCTGAAAGATGGAAAGCGTTGAATCACATACAGGCAGTCCTCACTTAACGACCACAATTGGGACCGGAATTTAGGTCACTAAGCAATGCAGTCATTAAGTGAATCAACACATGACCAGACCTGATTTTAGTGGGTTGTTAAGTGGTGGTTGTTAAGTGAATCACACAGTTCCCCGTTGATTTTGCTTGCCGGAAGCTGGCTGGGAAGGTCACAAAGGGCGATCACGTGATCCTGGGATGCTGCGACCATTGTAAGTGCAAGCTGGTTGTCAAGCACCCGGACTGTGTTCACGTGACCGCAGGAGCGCTGTGACAGTTGTAACTTTGGGCATCAGTCGTAAGTCACTTTTTTAGTGCTGTCACAACTTCGAACAATCATGAAACAAATGGTTGTTAAGTGAGGACTACCTGTACTTCATTCTTGCTAACACAGTCTGAGTGTGTCTCAGGCTGGAGGGGACAGAATCCTTCTCTCAAATCCCATGTTAGACAAAATGAGTATCTGGCTCTCAAGCTCAATATTTCTCTCTCAAGCTCAGTATTTTTCTCCCAAACTCAATATTTATCTCTCAAACTACTAATTCTGCCCCCCGCTCCACCCAAGGTGAGAAGAAAGGGCCTTCCAGTAAGCGAAAAACAGATGTACCTAGCAGGGAAATACAGCTGGATGCTACCTGGAGTGGTCACTGAATCAACAAGATGTGAAAATATGGAACTTCGATACATGAAATTATTTCTATTCCAATTCTTTCAGAATCACGAATCACAAAAACAATTCACATGTCCCTTGGGCTTTCAGCATTATATCCTTAAATGTTTGGCTTCTTTTGCCATATTAAACACGGAAATTATTTGAAAGCGTCACTGAAAATCTTCAGTCAAAAGCAGCAACTGGACGGTTTTGCAGTGCAAAAAAAAAAGGCAGATTCAAATTCAGTGAAATTCTGCTGGATTTGAAAACGTTTCTTTTAGTTTCCCAAGGCAGTTTTCATTTCACAAAGGTTAAAATAATAGGAGAATGCTGGGCTTCAGGCAAATTTGCTTGTAAACATCAAATATACATTCTCTTTATTTTTTTTTTGAAGGTGCAACATTTCTCGTCATGGGTATTACTGGATTTGACTGCTGGGTGTAAGAAAATACGCATTTTTTTTTTCATTTGACAGTGTGGCTGTACAAGATTTCCCTGGACACTGAACTGAACACAAAAAGATCTCTCAATGATCTTTTTTTATATTTCTGAACATGACTGTTTGGATTCTGATTTTGACAAATCCGTAACATCAGCATATTGGGTCATGGTGTATTTCTCCTTCTCTTGGACTGGAATCTCGTGATACTGGCAATATATCCGAACGCTTCCTCTGATGTCTATTTGAACCTGATATGCGTGAAATGAGCCTTAACGCCTATTTGCACTTTTCCTGAAACGGCTTTAAGTAGTTTATTTCTGAAAACTGCCGTATTCAAATAAATGTTCTACTGAATGCAAACCCTCCTCAAAGGCATCCGTTGCTCTGCTTGCCGAATCCAAAATGGAAGGAATGGAGAGGTGTGGGTAAAAGCAGAAAGGACGGAGAAACTAGGCCGGAAGGACCATCTTACCTGATCCATCATTCCACCTTCCTTGATCAGCCGGATCCTGGCTAATATGTTGATCTGGAGGGTGTACCTCAGGTGGGGGATCAGGAGCTGCGGAGGAGGAAGGAAAGCTATTAAGCCCTTCAGCCGTTGAGTTGGAGAAGATCCTTGGAGGCCAAGGGGGTCAACTGGGAGGCCGGTGATTCAGAGCTTCTAACAGGGGGCAACCTGGTGGCTGACACAACCTGTGACCATCAAACCAAATGCAGACAACAGGTGAGCGGTCTGGGCCTGCCAGGTGAGCAGGGAACCTGGATTTGCACTCTCAAAATAGAAGGAGATTGGGACAGGGACAAAACCTGAATGCTGGCCTGTTTCTGAGGCTCAAAATGGGAAGCCTGCCTGGTGGGACACAGCTGTCCAGCACATAGGGCAATTTAACAGGGCGGGCATTCTCTCCCCCTTTCCCCAAACTCCCTCTCTACCAAGAGACATGCCCCCTTAATTCACCTACATTTGAGACAGACATGACATCATGGTGCGTTCATCCAACTTGAAAAGTTGGAGGTGGTCATATTTCACTTTGGGATATACTGGGTTCTAGGAAGATACCCAGGGAAGAAAATCAACAGAATAATTTCTTGTTCCTTCAGGGAAGAGTGGATGATATTATTATTTGGATAGGGTGTCCCCCATTACGTTGTATCTCATATCGTGTTATATTCGTTTCACAGACTGCTCAGAAAACCTCGCGTTACGGGGAAGCTAGAGAAATCCAGTTACAATACTTATGTTCACATGCACCACAACTCACGTGAAAAAACAGCAGTCTGCCTCCCACACCATACCTTGAAAACTGGGTGGCACATGGGTAGTTCCCGTAGGGTGGCCACAGTGAAGACCTCGGCCATCAGGTGGGTCCGCAGGAGGTGGGAGATGTTCTGGTGGATGTGGAAGTCAGCATTGCGGACCCACATCTTAGCTAGGGTCCAATCCCACAGGGAGTCACTGGGAAGGAAGATGGGGCTCTTGGGGCCCGGGTTTTGGCTGAGCTACAGGAAGGAAGAGGGGAAACAATGATAGATGTAGGAAAAGAGATTAGCAGTGAGATTGAAAAGCTTCATTTCATAGCCCTTTGTATCACTCACTGCTTTGCCAGAGAACCACTTATGGCAGAGCTGGGTGGACGGTTAATTCAGTACAAGGGAGAACCCAACATTTCGATTCAAACTATCTTCTCAAATTTAAAACACCCAGTTTTGGGCTAAACACAAGCAGTTCCACGCATTTGAGAAGCATCAGCCCCACTGAGTAGACCAGGTCAGGAAATCAACCCCACAGGAAGGCTAAAACTACTTTTATTGAGATTGGTTCTAATAACAGCATCTTGCAAGTCTGATTGTGCTGGATCTCCTCCTGCTTCTTATAGTTCAGGGAATTAGGGTAGTGTCCACCTGAGCCACTTCTGAAAGTTATCTTCTTGCTCTGGACTTAAAAAATGTTTCAGCCCCTTTTACGTAATGGTTCCTGCCTATTTCCATCAAGGTCATCTTCCTTGCTCTCTATCAGAAGCGCCTCAAGCCCAAAACAGGCGGTTTCAAACTTGAGATGGCTTGAATCATTCTGCCCACCACCTCTTGAGAAGTTCATTTAGAAGACAATTCAGTTGATTAGAACAAGCAGACCTCCAAAGCGATCCACAGCGTTTAGGCGCTTCAGCATCCATTTGGAAAGATTCAGATCTAATCTGAAGTTTCAGCAGGCACACGTTCAGTTTGTCTGAAGTGATTTGGAAGTCCAAACCAAATCCAAACTCCAAACTGGGTTTGGGGTAGTTGGCACCTCCTTAATTTACAACCACATCTTCCTAATGGTAAGGGTTTCAAGTCCAAGGAGGAAGAGAAAAGATTTCTGGAGACCCACATTCCCTCACCACCTGACATTTTCCTTCCTCTGCCTCTCCATCCTCCACGGCTGACCCATGAGGGACCTCCTTTGGTTTGGGAGAACCAGGGGCTGACCTCTACAGCACCGCAACAGCAGAAGAAGTTGTGTAGACACAGAGAAGCTATTTCCAATTTTGTTTCGGTCAGGAAGACATTTAGGCGTCTTGAGGCGTCCGTCTTCAAATGGGGCAAGATTCAGGGGACCCCTCTTTGCCAAGTTGGCTGAATCTAGGTTGTGCATTTACCTGGATTGCGATTGGCACAAGACTTCCAGAAGGTGTCTGATGAAAGAGGCACAAAGGGACGGCCAGATACTGCTGTTCACCTTGGATTACATTGGTCGGGATATCCTGGAGAATGTTGTAGTCCACAATGAAGATGTTCCCCTTCTTTAAACAGAAGAAAGACAGAGTGAGGCTGGGGGAAGGTCCTTGCTCTCATGTGAAAACCAGCCAGCCTTCACTGTCAAAATGCATCCCACAACTAGGAGGTTCTTCTGGGCCATGGGCATCCATGGGGAGAGTTCAAACAGTCAAGATGGTGGCTTTGGTGGTGCAGTAGTGGCCGCCATGTTGCTTTTTTGGACTCTCCCTGTGGATGCCCCAGCTCCTCCACCGAGAAAGTCACTAGGGCTTTCCCCAAACACAACTGCCATTCACTGGGGAAAGTTAGAAACCAAACCCCAACCACCTGGATTTCCTCCGTGAGAGTGGTGGATTTTCCAAGGGACTCGGCGACCATCTCCTGGGTCACAGGGAAGTTGGCCGGGATCTCGGTGCACTTCTCAATCAGCACGGGGTTGACACCATTCAAATACTGGTAGCCAAAGAAAGCGTCTTCTTGCCAGTGATCCGCAACATATTCTGGAGATGCAGAGAGGATCAAAAGCAAAAAAGGGCTGAGTTTCTGCTGGGCTACGAAGATGCTGATGACGCAGGGAGGTTCCTGAATGGAGAATTCTGGGAAGGTTAAAAACACTGTCTTCCTTCATTCTTGCAAAATTATAGAGCAGACTGGGGTCTTGGATCCAATTTGAATAGGAATGTGACCTGGGGGATTAACTGCTTGGTGTTTCATATAATTCTGGTTGGAGTTCTTGGAAGAGAAGGTCAAGCACTCAGGTTTTTGGCCAGGGTTTGCTTACAGAACTACAGGCAGGGCAACGAACAAGTCAGAGCTGCAATGGTACAATTTTTCTGCCCTTTCACGACATCCATGGTGACCATTTTCCTCTTCCTAATAGGAGGGCCAGCCTAGCCTCGACTGTGCATGCCCATTTTATCTTGGGTAAATTCTGGAATAAACTGCTCACTTACATGAGTTGCTGCCTTTCCAGTCAGGAAGAGGCAAACCATGTCAGCAATTAACGCATCCTTGAGATTTTGAAAAGTGTTAAAGGTCTCC